CTTTTGCCCACAACTCAGCATTCTTGTGATAACATTCGGAAAGCGTACTGCGGCGTTAAACAGCAGTTATCATAACAAAATAACTGTGTAATACTTTTGCAGCGTTACCAGCTAAGGCAATATATAGCATGTACAAAACGAGAAAAATCAGGAAAAGTCAACAGGCGCAAAAAATTTCATCGCGCCCCGAAATTTTTTTTATCACAACCAGACATGACCCTTTTGGACCAAGTGCGGCCCCCAGACGGGTTTCTTCCAACAATGGTGCACCCTGACATTTATATACAATCTCGATATACATTACAAACGTAAATATATACATACACTTACATACACTCATACATACACCTACATAGCTGCTTACAATATAGTTTTCTGCATTTGTATGATAAGAATGAGAAGAAAAGTTGTAATTCTTATTAATTGTCTTTTTTATTGATTTCCTTCGCAATCTGCACTTTACCACGGCAATTCACTACTGAAATTATTGACAGATCAACGAAGCAGAAGCGCTGCTCGAAAGAGGACGGAGCATTTTTCAAGCTGTTATGCTGAACATAATTATGATGCGATGGACACGGTTTGTTCTTGCAATTGTTGGGCTACTACAATTACAGGAATTTTTGTAAAGGCGATGATTGCAGGGCTATCGAACTGGCGATCAAACACAATTCATATCTGGACATAGTAATGGGTTATAGGCAACGATATCTAGAGAAACTAGGCAGAAAGGAAACTGACAAGACCTTCCTTCGCTATATGGGACAGGTATTGCAGTTCTTAAGCCTATTCACTGAGGAATTACGAATTATCAATTTCATGAACTCGATGCATACAAGCATGCACCCTGAGGACAAACTATACACTCACCTCCGTGGATCCTAGTCCTCGCCATGTGTGAGGTGAATGGGTACACAGCTGTGGTAGCGTGTCAGTTTTTCCGGTCAACAAGGCAGCGGAATGGAGCTGGAGGGTATAATACTTTGGTGCAGTCTCCATACTCCGCCCGCGTCAGCCACACGCCTAATTATAGCCCAACGCACAACGTTGTCTTTGCTTTCTTACTTCTGTTTGTTCTCTCGCGCAGAATGCGTGTTTCGCTACGAGAACAGTGAGCATAGGGCGGGTAGAGTATGGAAACTTCATACGGATATCACTTCTCCCCAGCCTTGTTCCCGGACACTTGACTGAAGAAAGTGTGTTCACCTCGCACACGGGAAGGACCGTTTCTGGAGATGAGGGTGAGCTTGAGTGTACAGCTTGTCTTTCAAGGAAGCGGCAAAGGGACGATAAATGGTCTCAAGAGAATGCAAGCCGCATTCACTTTGTCTCAATCACTCGGAGCGATGTCCACGAGCATGGAATAAGCCCACCTGCTGTGTTTTCACCACTGCTTGTTCTCTTTCTACATTGCTGCGCGTAGATGAAGGAAAGCCCAGAGTGGCGCTCATCCCCCCCCCCCCCTCCCGGACACTGCCCCGACCGATTGCGACGATATCAACGGTTTACATTGTTCTGTTGTCAAAAAATTGCAAATGTATGTTCTGCAACTCTTCGTTTCTCGCATTCGTGCGAATGTAAATGAAAAGAATCATTTATTCAATCGAGACATTATAATGTCATCAGCGTGTGTGCCACTTGTGGCCAATTTGCAAGTGTCCGCTTGACACAATATGAGCCACTGGTGGCACATAACACTTTGCACCATTATTTTAGTTCTGGCCGTTAGTTCCTATTTATTATTTTTTCGTTTCCTAATCATTTGTCGAGGCTTAATGTCCAACAGGGATAAATAACGGAAAATTGTATGTTAACTTCTTGCAGAAAATTTGATTCTTGAATGGGAGCTTGTTCAACTACTATACAGCTATTCATAACCATGAAAAAAGCTCTTCTCGAGTGCCAAAATTCGACTGTATAGCCGATGCTCAGTTGGGTTCTGGTCTGACCTCTCAATGCCATGCAGAGCAGATTAATTTTTCCATTCGTACCACTCAGTTCTGGCTCAAAAAGCACTTGTTTTGAGGAAAACAGCTCAATCTCACATTCTGAACCAGGAATTTCTGTAGGAAAGCGTTCCGCTATGATTTACCGGTCAGAATTTCGCCTTTGTGTATGAACCGCCTCCTGCGCAATGTCTGTATCACCGTTTCCAGTGCGACTATAGTTCAGTCAGGTCGAAAGCGAAGGATTGAAGCGAGGGATCATTTAGTAATCTAGTAATCTGAGCACATTCGAAAGATGACCTTTCGGTTCGCTCAGCACGAAATTTCCAGCAATTCCCCATTAAATAATATTAGGGTTGTCTCCGGAAAGTTCTTAGCGTTTTGTGCACCTAATCTTTGTACATTCACTGCTGATTAAAAACTCATTCTGCCTTGCTTCTCAGTAGCACATCCTGTAGAGAATTTCTTGCGCTATCTGATGGTATAATTGCCGTTTCACCATTGCTTGATAAACCCTCTTTTTCAAGATTTTTTTCAAGCATGTGAAAAGAGCACTTCGGACGATTTTTTTCTTCGGCTATAAATTGGGGCAATCCGCAATCGAAACAGCTCAACAAATTAACCAGGTGTGGGGGCCCAATAGTGCTAAAGAAAGCACTGTGCGGCAATGGCTCAATAAATTTCGCTCTGGAGATTTCAGCCTTGAAGGTGAGCCTCATAGCGGTCGACCTAAAGCAATATCTGACGAGGATTTTAGGGGGATTTTGAAGGTTGACCCATCCCAAACAGTTCGAGAGATAGCAGAAGAGCTAGGCCTTGGCAAATCCATTTGTTGCAGATTGTTTGAAACGCATTTGAAGTGAAAAAACTCTATCACGATTACGAAAATGCTGTGCTCTGTTTCGAGAAAAATTATGACTGATTCGAAAACAATTTTATCGCAAACCGCCTATGCACAAGGATATAAAGAGGTAGTATACAGGACCTGGCTGCACTAACATGCAAAAACGAAGGGCGCTTCCAAAGGTAAGAAAGACTTGGTCATCGACGATCCGATTTATGCTTCATCGCATTTTTGTATTTAATTTCAACGATTGGTTGTCAGACGTTCAAGTAGAAATTGACTTTGATCATATTCGAGAAACAGTCGCTGAATTGGAAGCTTCAGAAGATGCCACAGATTGAACGCCAGCTGTGGTACTACAAGACTTCGCTGAACTATTTGTATGAATTTTGCTCAGAAGAAGGAAAAATAAAGTTTGAATATATGCACTGTGATAGATCCTCTATCTTTCCTAGTATCCAGTTAAATAATTTGCTATGCCTGTCTGTTTGTCTGTCCGGAAACTGATACACGTCGTCCTCACTGCATATGCGATGCCAAGTTCATTCCAAAGATCTTCTAATGGGGTAAGTGGACCCTGATCCTCGCCATACAAAATAAGAGTGCCTGTCTCTGAAGAAAGAAACTGCAGCAGTCGATAAGATCTTGACATAGGGATGACAGAATGGGAAGAAGGCCACACATATTCCAGTCAACGCCGGGACACAGCATCTTATATGCGTTGATTCCAGCAAATGATATTAGAGAGTGGGGGGAGAGGGTAGGTGGGGACGCCAACGATATGTGACAGAAAGTGATAACAGCTGATAAGGGCCGATAGGAAACACTGCCATTTTGGTTCAGTCGAAGTGCTGGAGCTCCAACACTACATGCATTATACGCACGTTATGATGTCGAGCGTGGAGGGGGGGGAGGGCATGTAGCTGCTCTGAACAGGAAACTCGGGGAAAATCAAGATCGAAAATCTGAGTAATGTGACACACTTCAAAAGGCATTTTTACTTTTAGGCTTTTATTACTGATAGGGACGCTTAATAAATTGAGTAGTATGAAAAAATGTTCAACTCAGCCGCCCTAATATTAGCATCTGCAATCATTTATGGGGCTGCAGCGAGTGGATTGCGTGCTAAACGAAGAACGAAAACGCTCGTCGGTAAGCGTTTCGATGCCGCTGATGCGCAAACTCGAATTCGTTCATCTACTCGATCGATTCATTTATTGCGGCTGTTATTTTTCGTGACTGTGGCTTCTCCACCTATATCCATACGCTTCTATTGTGGTTATAGACGTTATGGCAAAACCATTCCCCTCCTGCAAATATAAGCGTGGACTCAGGAGTGCAGAATCCGTTGGGTTACTCTATTTATTACGACTCGATCAACACAGCGCAATATGAGCTGCTCAGTGAGACGAACAAGTTCCGTTTCCATTATGAAGTTCGCCTGGCGAAGCCGGGCTGAAGAGAATGAGGAGAGCTCGGCGTCAGACGGGCAATCCGAGTGGTCTTTGCTGTAACCGAAGGCTACAGGCAATGCTAGAGTAGGATTTAAGAACTACCGAACTAGTCCGTTGGTACGCGCCCGACGGACGCGACAGATTCTTCTAACGGCCCGTTCTCGCGGTCTGTCGTGGGCTCTTGTCTTCGCGTGTTACTTCGTCTGTTTCTATGTCCGATTTTCTGGCTTTCTCTTCCATCAATGTTGAACGAGGTATATCCCCATCAATTTGCATTTCCACAGCATGTGGGAACGCTATGTTGTGCTGGGCTATACTTGTTGGTAATAAAAATTTTCTTGGCGAACCCGCGAGGCGGTTTTCTCGACGATAAATAAACCCATTGAAACAATAGGAGAACAACTATAGTGACTGAAGTACTCCTAATGGACGTTCAAAATCGCTCTGATTGCTCAAGATTTTTCCGTTACCCTGATATGGTGATTTATGTAATTGTTAGGCGCAGCTGTGTGCCGTCGACAGAAGGAAAAACCCTCTCATAGCTTCTTCGGAAATCATTCAGCTGATTCGACGACTATCGATACATTATGTACCACTCCCTGCCTGAGGCCAGAGTAGGGGCGTAGGCATTTTGAGATGAATTGGGTTACTCGCTGCGAATATTTCAGTCTGGGACATACCGGCCATTTTTCTTGTTCTGTGTAGTTGAACAGAGACACGACAACAATTGTGTCAAGATGAAAATATCTCACCAGAAGCATAGACACCTTCAGGTTAAGTTGAAGCATGCGGCCACGCCTACCCGATCTCAGGATTTCGAGGTCATAATTAGTGTCAGAATTTGCCGTCTGAAACGCACGTATGCTCTCACTTTGCGAATGGCTAGCGTGCATCTAACTCTTTTCCAAGACACGTTTGATGTCGGAGCTATTAGGGGGGAGTAAACCCAAACAAAAAAGCTGAACAGGATTCACATTTGAATACTATGATTATTGCAGAGTTCGTGGACATGAAAGCTGACCCAAGTCCCCCGCCACAGCCACACTACCTACAGTATTCGTTTTCGTGCCGAGACGAGCTCTATGTTTCCTCCTTGTGGGTGGTGACGCGTGGTTGGACTAGTATTTCATCATTATGCCGGAAGGTAGTAACTGCACTGTTGATCAAGATGTTAGTAGGTTTCAACGAAGATTTGGTAAAGTGTAAACAGGCTAACTAGCATTGCCATGCTGAGTACACAATCAAGCTGCGCACAATCTCTCCGCTCTTCAGAATTGCCTCAGTTCAGTTCAGTCTCCACGTTTCGAGTTTCATTTCTTTCTGCCCCGTACAATTTTTAAGAATTTGTCGCTCGCAGAAATTCTCGACTGCATTAAGTGTTCAGTGCCTCATTACCTTAAAGAATGTTTTGTTTCTGTTAACATAACTCTCGCTCGGAAGAGCGCACCGCCAGACGAGGGCTCGCTGCCTCTCTGCAGAGGGCTCGCTGCCTTTCTGCAGAATCTCCTGTTTCCCTGTTAATGT